GTTTGTTTCCCATCTATAACTTCTTCATAGTTCAAGGGATTTTGAAAATACATGGTACAAATAGTAACAATAATAAGATAATATGTCATGCACAACTTCTGGACCCCTACATCAAAGGTCAAGGTCATACTAAGAGGTCAAAGCTTAACATTCATTTTATTTCTTTAATAAATTTATTGTTGCAGATCTAGCATTGATCATAATTTTGGACTGAAAGTCCTTAGATCCATACCTCAATCTTTTGAAATATCACAACTTTATGCTTCATATAAAACTTCCCAAAGGCGGGGGACGTTGGTTACTCTGTTACAAATTCTTGTTAGATATGGTACTGTATCTATCTTGTTTCGAAAAAAAATTATCTTCCCTTATTTGTCATGGCTCGAGGTCGGGTTTTAACATTTTGTCAGAAAAAATGACTTCTTTAAATACAAGTGCAAAATATAATCCAATCTTTTAAACCATTAGTGCTGTCATGAGCTTTAAAAGTATTATTCAATTATATTTTTTGATATACATGTATGTCATTCATTTTGGCTCAGCTTTTCTTTTTTTTGAAATACGAAATAGATGTCGCTGCCGTTGCCTTCTGCAAACTTGAACCTTGTTCATAACTTTTAAAGTTCCTGGTGTATTGTCTACATACTTGGTCATCAGAACCCTTGCAACGAAATAGAGAAAGCAAGAATCCCTAAAGAAAGTCCAACATAACATAACTGAAAATGTTGCAGGCTCGGTTTGATTGGGCACCGGCCTAAGCGGAATTCAACATTTAACATGAACTGGTACAATTTTGAATCATCCGCAGATGTGTTCATATGGCGGTTATCGTGGAACCTTCAATGTGACACTAAGTGCCATTCCATGAAAAGCGGCATAATTATGGTCCCCAAGTAAAGAAATGCGTGTGCCCTAAACGAGAAAATAATGGGCGGAACTAAATAAAATGGAATTTTGAAAGGGGATCAGAGGTTATGAAGCCTGCATATCACAGATAATACGTCAAAAGACAAATTTAAAAAGCAGGCAACATAACCAAAGGGTGATTCAACAGTATTCAAGTGAGGAATAATGGAACCACCCAACAACAAAAAAGCCAAATAGAAAGAACTACATTACCACAAGCTCAACAATTATGTCGTGCTGAACGATCTTAAAGGATCGGAAATATAACATCTCTGATTGAATGTACGGGGCGACTTTTTACAGCCTCCACACGGCACAAACAACGCTGATGTGGCGATAAAATAGAGAAAGCAAGAATCCCTAAAGAAAGTCCAACACTACATAACTGAAAATGTTGCAGGCTCGGTTTGATTGAGCCTGTTCATGGACGGTACTGTACAGTGCAAACTACCGTCCACGCCCCCTAGCACCGGCTTAAGCGGAATTCAACATTTAACATGAACTGGTACAATTTTGAATCATCCGCATATGTGTTCATATGGCGGTTATCGTGGAACCTTCAATGTGACACTAAGTGCCATTCCATGAAAAGCGGCATAATTATGGTCCCCAAGTGAAGAAATACGAGTGCCCTAAACGAGAAAACAATGGGCGGAACTAAATAAAATGGAATTTTGAAAGGGGATCAGAGGTTATGAAGCCTGCATATCACAGATAATACAAGACCGTTAAGAAAACATGACTAACCTTGGCCTTCATTCATAAATGACCTTGACCCTCAAGGTTAAATGTCTAAATTTGGGCTTTGCTTGTTATTTTTTGCTATTAGTGGCTTTTAAACCTTTATTTTTGGAAACAATTGTCTTTTAACTTTGAGCAATAATTTAATTTTAAGGAAAGGCCTTTAAATTTTACCAGGAAGACCTGACCTTCAATTATAAATGACCTTGGCCCTTAAAGGTCCCAATTATTGAATTTTAATTTTTGTTGCTGTAATACGGTTTAAATTGAAGAATTGACCTTTATATACATACAAAACATGCCTTCCTTCATGTTTATTTAACTCAAATTTGCCTTGAATCTTTTATGACCTTGACCTTGAAGGTTGAATTATTTATTTTCCACTGTTTTTTTTGGGCTAAAAATTATCTTTAACTTGGTAATTAATAAATGGATTATCTTCATACTTTAACAAAACAACATTTTTGACTAGACCTTCAAAAAAACCCCATAAGACAGATAAAAAGATGTGATTATCATTGACACTCTCTGCTTCCATGTTTATTAAAAAATCCTGGGCAATAAGATATTTTAGGTAGCTGGCTATTTGTAGGTAGGTCGTGAGAATGGGAAACAAACAATATTTTAGGCTTGGTAGGGACATTGCCCTTTCCCAGTCAATGGCTACTACTGATTTTGAGGTAATTAGATTAAAGCTCAAGATGGCATTAAGTTTAACTTCCTTAAAATGTGTGTAACATTGTAAGATATAGTTTATGTAACTTAATTTACTTAATTTACTTAATTTATGAAAAAATGCTGATTGCCATTAGTTTCAAGATGAGTCCATTTGATTATAAGTTCAAGGCCTCAGTGACATGTAAACTCATTGTTCCAAGGTTTTGAACATTTGCAGGGACATTGCTTAGACTAGTAATGAGCATTAGCTTGGAAGTAATAAGGTCAAAGGTCACAACGGCTTTAAGCATAATATCCTTCATCACCAGAAACTGATAAAGGGTAAGCACAAGTTTATGCATACAATTCGGTTGGAATTAAGATATTATTTATTTCCTTCTAAAATATTGACCATCTCCACACTTTCTGTTCATGGTAAGACAGCATGGATTAAAAAAATTAAAACTATAACTGTAAAGAAGTCACTGGTGTTCAATTTTGAGAGTAAGAAAAAGAAGATATGCTGTTCATTTAAAAATATTTTACTGTTGTTTTACTGCCAATATTCTGTTCATTTGAATTATTTTATTGTTGTTTTACTGCCAATGATTAAATACATGTTTCAATTAATCAGTGTTTTTTGTTATTTTAACAACATACCAAAATGTGTCCTGCTGAAACATGCTAAGAGAAGTTGAGTGTAAATTGAAAAGTATTTGTAAAACATTGTTACAATCGGTGTTCTTATTTGAATTTTAAAAAGGTACATTTGACATCAGAAAAATGGAGAAATAAAGAATTCCTGAAGAAAGCCCAAAACAACAAAATTGAAAATGTTGCAGACTCGATTTGGTGAGTCTGTTCATAGACGATACAGGAAAGTGCAGGTAACCTCCCATGCCCCCCCCCCCTAGCACCAGCTTAAGCAGAATGCAACATTTGAACATAAAGTGGAGACATTTGGAATTTAGAATCATCCGCATTTAAATTACTGTTTGCTTTATAGATATGATGAAAAGCTTGTTACTCTGGATGAGATAAGGCCAGTATTTGCACTATAATTTATAATAAATAGCAATGTGAGAAGCAAAATTTGAGATGGGAGTAGATGTTTGCAATATTTAAGGGGACAGTTAATACAAATTAACTTGTGAAAACACAATTTTTTATTCATCATAAGTAATAGAAATAAATATCCTCATGAAGAAAAACAATTTTCCATCTGATTAAATAAATATAAAACAATTCTATCTTGGCTAAGATGTCATTATTCTTATACAAGTAAATCTTTGTGTCTGCTGTTGTGGTTTTGTTCCATACCGGTATATATTACTCTTACCAGAGATTGGGATTTAATTCTAGGCAATCTTATTTTCAGTGGAACGTAACTGTTCATTGTAAAGAGATTAATATTTAACACAGGTTGCACTGTGTTTGTATTGGAATGGAATTCTCATTAGTACATTATTCTCAATGTAATTTTTCCATTCTTATTTGCTTAATATTAAATTAAAGTATATACATTATCGTATAGCATTCGGTGGAGTCTGTAGATGTTATATATGTACTGGCTTTCGCATACAGTTGTCTGGTTGTTTAATCTGGTGACACCCTATACAGTTTATTACATTAGATTGCCAAATTATCTTTCTTTATCAGATATCATACGCTTGATAATAATATAGTCATGACGCACATTATGCTATATTATCACGATAGATACGTTTTAGTTCTGGTACGAACAGATCATAAAGAACGGCTTAGAATCCCTCTATAATTTACCGATTTCAAATAACCACAGCAACCGTACGACATATAGTATTGGTAATTTTATTAGCATGCTTATCTTCTTGTTTACATCAGTAGATCTAGTGAGAGTCACAGACTTTGTCTTTTTTCCAATTGTTTCGTTTCGCGTTACTAGTCAAAATGGGAGTATATAAGCTACATTCCTTAGCTAATAAATAGCTTTTAATATCGTTTATTAATTACAAAACATAAAATTGCATCCGTCATTTATATTATATCTCATACAATCGAATGACTATTGAAGGGTCGCAAGTTTGTTGACGTTTCTAATTATAGAATTTCCGAACTTTTCTGTATGCAAATGAGTTAATTCCGAATGAAACCGATCGGACCCGATAGCTTTTACAAATGGCGGGATTTCAAAAACTGGCCATATTATATGAAGTTGCATCCGATTGTTTCGGCGAAATAAGATTAAAATTGTATAGCAGTTCATAATAACTGAGGATATACTTATGATTTAGTCGTAAATTTATGAAAACTAAGTTGTAAGGTAAAATATCATCGGTCAACGGGAATATAACTTTAAGATAAAATAGAATTTCAGATAAGTTTCTTAATGGGGTCTCTGTTATTGAGTACTCAAACAAATGTACATCCGGTCGAATATTGCCCTGCCTTGACGGTGCTTTTGTTCTTTTGTTTTTAGGTCTGCCAACACAATAGTGTTCATATGGCATAATGTCAGTTTTACTGTAGGGGGTAGACCTCAATTACACTACCTTCAGGCAGTACAATCACCGACGTTTAGGTGCCTCACATCCTTAGTGGGATTCGAACGGTTTTGAACAAGTGGTGGATGTCAACGACTTTAACCACTCGGCAACGGATGCTCTTATCGTCAAACTTTCATGCATAAATACATTAGAAGAAGGAAATCACTTTACCGTGTGGGAATCGCTTCAACCATGCCACGACCAATGCGGCAATAACGACGACAAAAGCAATAATTAAGCCAAATATTTGTGTGTCTATCAAATCCATGGTTCCTGAAGATCTGCAAAAGAAAAGTACAACCATAAACGTGATTTTATAAAACAAAATGCATTTTTATCAAATGCTATTTCAGAAACCGGTTCCTTAAGCCAAGACACGATTGACAAGTGTATCATCTTCAGAAGTGACTTTTATTACATTCCCCTAACATGTTCCATTATTCTTCGATTTTCATGCAAACCCTATTATACATCAGATACAGAACTTGTTTATCATAACTAGTGTTCCTTTCATTTTCTTTTTTTTACAAACGATAAATAGATAATACACGTCTTGATTTTTTAAACAAGTATTTCTAAATTTAATGTGATTCAGCATTGTCAGCTATGTTTATTTTCAGAAAGTGGGTCCAACGTTAAAGTAGACCAAAATTCATATAACAACACAGCTTACAATGTAAAATGATGAACCATTCGCAATTACACTTTCAGGTCTGTCCATATTTTAAAGACAATTATAAACAAAAATATTTTGTTTTCTAAAACCTCAAAAGTTAAGAATCATTCGTGGGCTTAAACATTTCTAAGTCACATGATTAAATATTTGCAAAAGGAAGCGTCACATGTAGCTTTTATAGGTCCTTTTGTTACTTTTCCTTTTGATGAAGGTATGGTGATATCACCAATTAATACTGTTCCTAAATAAAAAGCTGTTGAACGTAGAGTTATTTGGATTTAAGTTTTCCAAAAAAATGAACCTGGTGTTAAGGAATTTGTTCCAGAGGATCGTTATCTTGGATGGTCAATTTGTTTGTTTTTTCCAAAAAAATGACGACTTTGTAGCCTTAATTAAAAAATAAAGGTCATTGTTGTTTTATGTACAAGTTTGATTAAAGCCGTGCCTTTAGACAGATAAGTATTTGCTTTTCAAGTTATAATTTGGTTGGTTTTTCATGGAATAATCATATATTCTTTGATACTGTATTAGCTTTGGTATCGAGGTCCTCTTCTTTTATTTGTCAGAGAGTTACATATGTTTTTGCTTTTATGATGCATAATGTAGGTTTATCTTGCCTTAATTACTAAGGTTATTTTGAAGTGTGGAACGTAAAATAAATGCTTATATTAGGTTTTAAGTGAACTCTTTATTAGATATGGTATTGAAGAGGCTGTAGACAATTTTGTGCACCATCTCAAGTAGGAGTCTTGTTTAATTCTCAAAGTATGACTATGCAGATAACTAAGGAGAGGCTTGAGTCGGGGAAGATAGGTGTTTCTTTTAAAGTTCCTTCTGAAGTTAGGAAGGATTTATTGTGGTGGCATGAGTTTTTACCCTTGTATAATGGAATATCTCTGACTGATTATGGTGAATGGTCTCTTGTTGATAGTGTTACCAGTTGTAATAGTTGTTTAACAGGCTGCAGGGGTTTTATACGGCTCTAAATGTTTTCATGCTTCTTTCCCTTGGTTTATTTTGGATCAATCTTTAAGCATCACATGTTTATAGATGTTGACTGTTCTAGTTTCCTTGAAGCTACCGGGCTCTGATTGGTCAAGGAAGAAAGTTGTAATCACTTGTGATAACTTAGCAGTTTGTATTGTAATTAACACAAGTAAAGCCAAATGTTCATTCTTGCAGTATTTTTTGAGAGAGATATGCTTCATTGCTTGTTAACATGAGTTTCAATCAAGGGCTTCTCATCTAAGTAGTTGTGATAAGTGTGTCTCTGACTGTTCGAGTAGGTGGCATGTAGATTCCAAGTTTAGATATGAATTTTTGAACGGTTGTCCTGATATTTCTTCGATGATAGAAGTTGATGTGGATGTAGAGCATTTACTTTTTCTTCATAATTGGTGAGTTCTTGTTTCAGAATCAGAGCTTAAAATTTTACGACAAGAGCTTAGGAATTCGAACTCTTCAGTCTTTGCGGAGGGGACAAATAAAAATCTACGTGTTTAGTGGGAGAGTTTTATTTTATTTTGTTTATATTTTAAATTTGATTTTTTTCCTGCTTCTAATCTTACCTTTCAATTGTACTTTCAACTTCTCAGTAGAACTTTGTTTCTGTTGAGAGTATCAAAAATTATATTAGTGGTGTTAAGACTTTAAATTGTGTTTCGGTTTCAACATTTCAACATTGATTATATTAATACTTATTTGTTAAATCTATCATTCAAAGGTTTGCAAAAATGATAAAGTAGCTTTACAATAAAAATAACGACATATCGGTCCAACTCCCATGCATGCATTTGTATGCTTAATTGTTAACAGATACTGTAGCTTTAGCGACAACAACAAAACAGAAGCAAGTTATATATTGAAATTTTTAAACATGATCGTCATTTGAATTAATCTTGCTTTTGGTCTATTATTCTAATTTCCTGTAATATATCATACGTCGGAATTTCTAAATGACAGACAATAATACAGAGAACTTGAAAATGGCTATAAAAAGTTATAAAAGGCAATTTCAGTGTGTATGTGTGTTTATAAAATATTGATATTTAACTATCTAGTTACTAGTTTTTTATCCTGGCATTTGATAAAATCTAGATCTAATAAATATATTCACTTTGAAATTTTGCTGTTTCACTCCGTAGCAACACGGATTTATAAATCAGTGGTAGCGAGAATTAATCTCAATCTTTGCTTTTGTATTTTTCCTATTGTCTTGATATTGAAATTATGTATGCATGCGTAATTTTTTACATGTAATAATCATAACTGAACGATCAGTATTTACGCATGTAACTTTTCAATAAGCAAACTTTTATCCCAAGTTTACGTCATATCCGGTAAGGGAAGTAACTCTTCACTGACTGTTATCGCTTAAATGAAAGGGTCTATAAGCTAATACTTTAAATGGTACCTGTATTTAAATATAAGAATATTATTATTACCAATAATAATAATAGTCTAGAATAAAAGTTTTCCCCTTGTTAAATTATCTTAAGTACGAAACTGTTTTTTATCAAAGACTGCTATGTTGTGCCGTTTGTAGCTCTCGACATTCATAGGTAAGAACTTTAAACAAGCTCTTATTCGTCTATAAAATAAATCGACTTCAAAAATAAAAACTCCATGAATTTTTTGATATTTTTGTTTAAATAGGTCTGTCAAGTAACACTTCTTGTTTTGTCCAAGCTTGAATCCTTTCCCTTAATAAATGAAAAAGTGAAGAAAATATAATTAAGATTCAATCATTCGATGGTCAAAGTCATTTAAATGTCAAGCTCATACCTATATTGTTTCACATGTCTGTTTTTTCCTGCTTCTACTCTTACCTTTCAATTGTACTCTCAACTTCTCAGTAGAACTTTGTTTCTGTTGAGAGTATCAAAAATTATATAGGTGGTGTTAAGACTTTAAATTGTGTTTCGGTTTCAACATTTCAACATTGATTATATTAATACTTATTTGTTAAATCTATCATTCAAAGGTTTGCAAAAATGATAAAGTAGCTTTACAATAAAAATAACGACATATCGGTCCAACTCCCATGCATGCATTTGTATGCTTAATTGTTAACAGATACTGTAGCTTTAGCGACAACAACAAAACAGTAGCAAGTTATATATTGAAATTTTTAAATATGATCGTCATTTGAATTAATCTTGCTTTTGGTCTATTATTCTAATTTCCTGAAATATATCATACGTCGGAATTTCTAAATGACAGACAATAATACAGAGAACTTGAAAATGGCTATAAAAAGTTATAAAAGACAATTTCAGTGTGTATGTGTGTTTATAAAATAGTGATATTTAACTATCTAGTTACTAGCTTTTTATCCTGGCATTTGATAAAATCTAGATCTAATAAATATATTCACTTTGAAATTTTGCTGTTTCACTCCGTAGCAACACGGATTTATAAATCCGTGGTAGCGAGAATTACACATCTCCTCTATTGTTTGTGAGAGGTCTATATTTTTCAGATAGACCTGTTTAAACAAAAGAAAGTCCGTTATGAGGTCTATCTTTTGCACGTGCACAGGTCTGTTCTAGTCAGACAGACCCGGTCATGAAATACACGTGGAAAATAGACCTGTCAATGCTCAGACAAAAAAAATGAAATGCAATAAAAAATAAAAAAATAAAATGAAATGTAAATGATTGTCATAATGTTCCTGTCTTACAAAATCAGGATACATTTTTTAAACAAGATAATGTTTATTGAATGCACTAAGCAATTATTCCAGCATCCCTATATTAAATCTTTGAATAAAAATAATGGACAGCATATCAAAGTAAGGACACATTTAACATTTATTTAAACGCGTCATTTTTTTAAAGTAACAGTAATCTAAGTGGTTCTCCTGTCATAAAGTTCACAGTGTAACAAAATGGATGCTTCAAGTTTATATATTAAGCAGTTATCACAGCATACTTACGATTTTAAAATTATTTAAAGTTATTAGTGACTTAGTATAAAAAAAATTATGATGACCGATCATATTTTATTCTAGAACACTTTATAATCTGCTATATAAAATATAGTTTCGATTCATGTATCTAACACTTGCCATCATATACATATGTAAGTTTTTCGTAGTCTTTTGGGTATCAGGACATTACCCTTCGGACAGTTGCCCCCTCGGAAGTTTGCTCCCTTTTTGCAGTGGCGGTTATTTGCCCCTCATATCTTTGGAAGGACGGACATGTGCCCCCTCCCTGTTTTAAAAAATGTTAAAATATTTTATTGTTGAATTGTTTGCTACCCAAATTCATCGCCTATTGTCGAAATTTCATTGTGCTTATAAACGCAAATTTGTGACAGTCAAAATAGCATCCATAAATAAATGAACTATAATGTTTCAATTTGCATACAAAAAATCTATACACGAGATGACCTCTGACAAGTGACAAGTCGCAACAGCGAAAAAAAAAGGGAGGATGGGCAAACGTCCGAGGGGCAACTGTCCGAAAGCAAATGTCCGAGAATCTGCATTGTCTGATACGAAATACTATCAACATAATTAATCATCCTTTAACATATCTTCCATTACAGACCTATTCACTTTATTATTGACAAATTGCACATTTAGCTTTTCTATTATTA